CCAGACCAAACACGCTGGCACCTTGATACTGGACTTCCAGCCTGCAGGACTGGAAGAAATAAATTTATTTTGCATATAAGCCACCCAGTCTGTGGTATTTTGTTATTACAGCCCTAATGGACTAAGAGAGCAGCTATGATGCCTGTTCTCAGTTTACCATCTAAATCAGTTTATGAGTACCTTTACTTTAGCTGAGTTAGTCCCAGTGTTTTTCCATATTACAAAGACAATAAGTTGTTTGCTCACGCTAGCTTGCAGCGGTGGTGGATTTTACAAAGTGCATGACCTATGTGAAACGTCTGTAAGATAAAAATACAATACCCCTGAGTGAGTTTTTCCTCTGATACTAAAGTATATTGTTATTTTATACAGATCTTCAACGTCAAAGACTAGATAAGATGGGATGTGAATACATCTTCTACTTAAAGAGCAATCTGGTTTCTCATGACTTACACTTCAGTTGGGAAATGGGGGATCGTTGGGAAGTGCCTTATCTATGATCTGCACAGTATAAATTGCCTGCTTAGGCACTGAGTGTTCTAAGACTTGCTGTTGTTTATGTTTCTAAGCAAGGATCCAGTAATCACAGATGCTGAAGACTGAGCAGTTCAAGACAGCCTGATTAGCTGTTCCAAAAGAGGTATCAGGAGATACGCAAGTGTATCTTTTCAGCAAATCTTGTACGTTTCGGGCTTATTTTAATCATTTAAAAATGAGTCACACTCTTAAATGACCTCTGGGATTAGCTTCCTAGTAGGGTGAGTGAATAACCCACAGAATAATTCCAACACCCAGAGCCTGGACTGGGACAAGAGGAAAAGACTCTCACACCCTGCAGAGCCACCCCTGAACATGGAGAAAGGGGATATGATTTTAACCTTCAACTAGAAAATGCCCTCTGTCCGTCTTTGGGGGCCCTTAATCAGTGCCCAGATAAATAATGCATCACTGAAAATAAGACGCGGCAAGAGCCTTGACCTCCTAAGCATGCCGGCGAAAGTGCCTCATCACCTGGTGGGCAGAGGCCCCCAACAGGGGTGACGAGGGGGCAACAAGGTTGCAGGAACCTTTAACCAAAGCTTCAATGCCACTGGATAAAGAATGGAGTTGAAATAATCAGAAAAGGTTCACTCACAAACAGCCTGTTCATGAACCACAATGGCCATCCAGGGAAACTGCACGTTCCTGCAAAACGTCTTCTATATGGTGCAGCACTTCCAATATGTTGATTTCCTCATCTCCGTCGAAACACCTCAAAAAAGCGCTGTATAATGACCTCATAGGCTAGGGCTTAAAGCAAAGCCAAGAGGCCGATGAGCAAGGAGGACGAGTGACAAGGGCATGTGGTCCACGTCCTCCAGCCCCCATCTCTGGGTACCATATGTAACAGCCGGCACGGGCTTGCACTGTTCCACCATCAGAAATCCCAGAGTCACCAGTTTCCTTCCCATGGATACATCTGCAGGCTGCCCAAAGGCAATCTGAAAAGCCATTCCTGCTTGTATAGCTTCCTCTCTACCCATTCATCCAAAGCACTCAAACTGTTAATTATTTAAACAATTCTATTTCCTCAATACAAAAAATTACCTTTAAAAGCTTTATTGGACTTTGGATTTTAATACAAGGGCTCAGTTATACTATTAAAAAAAAAGAGAGAGGCAGGCAAGTGGTCTTAAGGGTGATGTCCTGTGGACAGCATGTGGACCCTGATGCCACAATGGGCTGGGTAAGATGGTGGCAGCATAGGGCACCACCCTCCTATGGCAGAGCGTCACGTAACAGGAGGGCTTGGAGGGAAGTGATTTTTTCTCAGAGGCTTAGCAAGCCTTGGTCACAGCCCAAGCTGTCAAAGAATCCCTCTCACAAATGGCTTATGGGGGCAGATTTCTCTTCTGAACAGAAATGATTCTAGAGACTCCCGGGGTCCATGAGGAAGGAATCAAGCAGAAAGTCTTTATATTCTTTCTACTTAACCATCCAGTTCCTCTGCAGCTTTTTACCACTCCTGCTATGAAGAGAATATGCCACAATCGAGGCAATGCCACAAAGGCGACTTGAATCAGCTCCACAAGAAAACAGCTGAATACAATAGTCAGCGGGATGACTGCAGGGGAAAAATTCATGGCAGAAAACCTTCAGATGATATTCCTTGTACAAATTACTGACTCGAAAATTCTTTTTCCGGACATTTGCGTCTCTGGTGTTCTACTATAATCTGCTGTGTACAGTGGTCATGACCACAAGCTCTGGAGAGAGACTGGTTCAAATTCCAACTCTGCCGTTTATATCTGTGTGGCCTTGGACATGTTTTTTTATTAACAAGTTCTGTGTCTTAATATCCTCATCTGTTAAGTGGGGATAATAACTGAGCTGCTAGGATTAAACAAGCTACTACATGCAAAACATTCAGAATAATGCTCAATAAAGCTACGGTCGTTATTACTATAGTTCCAAATTGCTTTCACTTATTTATCAGAATTGCTCCCACAAGCACCCTGTGAAATAGTGGTGATCATTTCATCCATGTTTTTCTTATGAGTATAGTGAGACTCCGTTAAGTGATTTGCTAAAAATGTAAAAAACCTGTGGCTGAGCCAAGATTTGAATCCTGGTCTTCTGACATTAAACCTCGGACCTTTTCTATTACTTTGCATTATTTACATGTAAACCACAGCAAAAATGAAACCAAGAAGGACCCTGCAGGGCCTTTTCGGGACAGACCCCTGTGTCCCCTGACTCTTGTTTTTAGAAAAGCTTTAGCCTCCTAGGCCTTCTGCAAGATCCAAAGGGAATTTAATCAGAGAAATGAGAAAACACAGAAACAAAGGAAGACAATCAAGCAAGACAAAATAACAATAATTTAGCCATAAAACAATGTCATGGACCTTTAGTCCCTCCTCAAGGGCTATAGATAATGACCTGAGCCATATCCTTGAGTTGTTTTGCAGATACTAAAACCCCCATCAGGTTGAAGAAGTTAACTGCATGCTGACCACCAGCACATAGACCCCAGACCAGTTGGAACCAGAAGGTTGATGATGTTAGTTCCCAAAATACCACCCTGTTACCTCACCACCAACCAATTAGAGGGATGTACATGAGCTGATCATGCACCCTGAGACCTTCTCCCTCACCTTGCCTTTAAAAACACTTCCCTAAAAGCCACAGGTCTTTTGAGCATGAGCTGCCCGTTCTCCTTGCTTGGCCCTGCAATAAGTGCTACACCTTCCTTCGCCACAACCTAATGTCAGTAGATTGGCTTTGCTTCACATCAGGTGATTGGACCTAAATTTGGTTCATAAACGAAAACAGCCATTATAAAATATGGACACTAGATAAATTCCTACAAGGACAAAAACCATTGACAACATCATAATATCTATTCTAGGAATTCATTCTTGGAATAAACAAATGATCAGCTGATGGCAATTTAGCTTACATAATTAAAGCCAATTTTTTTATTCAGTGTGTAGCAATTTGGAACCCCAAAATTCTGAAGCAAGGTGGGAGGAGGAACATTTATCAATGCATATTCTTTGTTGTAAATTTTACTTTTTATGAAAACACGTAAAATCCCATCTTGAGAAAAATCACAAAAATGTAGAACTACAAGATGGTTGAGTAGTTCATTACAAAGGGAACCACTGAAGGGCTTAAGTGTTTAAATGTGAACCTTGCCATCTTATTGCTGCCGTAATTCACAAGGCAGCTATGGACTTTTTCATCACTGATATATTGGTGACATTCAGGCTACATATACCCTCTTAGATCTAGAAGACTGGAAATTTCCTAAGAATCCTTATCCACATGACACTTAAGGGAAGTTTTATGAGACAAGCAGAAGGTACGTGAATATAAATGAACTGGCAGATCTTCCTTTTTCTCCTAATGAATTTTATAATTTAGAGCATTTGAATGGATTCCCAGGGGAGGAATTCATCCCTATTTTTTTCATTACTAACACTCTCTAGTATTTGCATCTATTTCTAATTCATGAAGTTTGCATGTGTTAAGCCTTCAAGAACTTGGGTGAGTCTTCTATTTAATAAGATCAATCTTTTATGAATCTAGTTTTGATCTTTAATATGTACTCTATATACAAATCATTCAAATTATCCCTCAAAATAATTTCTAAAAAGCAAGTGGACAGATCCATGTTAAAAACAAAATTTCAAACAAATATAGTGTACTAAAAACTATAATCTGAAACCAAAAGACACTGGTAAACTCTGAATGACCAGCAAATTTCTCTGTCCATATATCAGTGTTCTTTTATTCAGCTCACCATCAGGGTTCTGTCCAATCTTTGCAAAAGTCCACACAAGACTTCCTTTAAGTTCATCTGAGCAATGCACATTAAAATGTCCACTCACCCAAACTGACTGATGTACATTCCACAGTAAAGGAAAACCTTTTCATTGTAATTCTGAAATTACGTTTTTGATACAAGATGTATAATATTCTAGAAATATGCCTCTTAAAAGCCACCCAGATGGAAATATTTCATTCCTTAGATATGTACATAAAAATCTATAAAATGTAAATAAATCTCACTAGTGAACATTACTGAGACATAAAACTACGAAATATTATTTAGGTCAAAGAAAGGACTCAGATTTTTCTCTACTGGTCAGAGTCTACCTCTATACCTCGGTCCTGCTCCAGGTGATAAGACATTACTATATAAACAAATTGAAAACAGATGGCTGAAGAAGGCACCATTATGTTAAGCAATGAATGACTGGAAAAGTAGAAATCTCTGAGTAATCATTTAAGCTTCATAGGTCTATATTTGTACTTGATTTCAGTGGTTAATCCTGTGCTAACTCTATCCTTGAACTGGTTTGGGGGCAACAGCTATGTATGCATTAACTAAACGACCCAAGTCCCTCAACATCAGTAAAATGTATGTTTCAGGTCTCCACCATATGCTGCACAAATCCCCCAACTCCCTGGTTCTTGCCCGTAAAGTCACGGTCACAGCATGATACCTCCCTTACCTGCTTCCCATCCAGGGTGTAGAGGCGTTTCACCACTCCCGAGTCCAGCTTGATGGCATCGGTGATGTCAGTGAGAACCTGTTCAAAGGAGTGAGCCGTCTTCTTGTTCAGCAGAATCCTGACAGCTTTCCGCGGCTTCACTCCACTTCTGATGATGGTGACCAGCTTGGGCCGAATGAAATCCTTATTCTCCCGCACCTCCGAAGGGCTCCCTTTGGCGGTGGCCAGCGAGGACACCGCCCGCGAAGCAGAGGTGGTCTTGACATTCACGGACCAGTTGGGGTTCACATTCTTGGTGTACTCCAGCTTCTTGAAGGGCTCTATTGAGCCACACACATAACTCTCTCCTAAGGAGGAGAGAAGCATATTTAAATTTACACTCAGGTAAATTCAATTCTTTTTTTCCTACTCTCTGAATTTTCCTTTTCTACTTAGAAGCAAGCACTACTTGTGACCTTTTAAACAATGGCGGTATGATTAATAATTAATGAAAAAGAATTTTGCCTTCTTTTTTTAAAAATTTCTATTGGAGTACAGTTGATTTCCAGATTTTTGACTTCCAATCTGGCTCTGTCAGCAACAGATTGGTATTCTGGGGGAAGAAAAAAAATCATCCTTCTTCCCTTTCATCATCTTCAGTTTGGTGATAGAAATCCCAATATTGAATAGCCCTCAGAGAGATATGAAACTGAATTCAAAATAGAAACTATCTGGGGGGATTTAGTTACATTTATATTTGCAGAAAACTTCAAAATTGGAGGCACCTACATTTGCCACCTGAGATAAAATAAAAACTGAAAATGGATCAGAAAACAGCTTCTAAAAATAGCTGTGTAATTTTTTTTTGACGGGAGTGTTTGCTTAACATTTTGTAAAGTCAAGTAAAATTCCAAAAATAAGCAGAATAACTCCTTTCCTTTTCTTCCATCTTCACAGGGCCAAGCACAGTGATCCACACACACGTCACACTGGTTTATAGACAAAAACTTTTGAGAGTCATCAACTTACAAACTTCATAAACTGACTTTAAAATAAATATAACTATATAAGATGAAAAAGAGCTGAGGATCTAATTACAGCATGGTGATTACAGTTGATAACACTGTATATTTGATATATATTTCAACATAGTATAATTGAAATTCGCTAGGAGAATAGAACTTGAACGTTCTCACTAAAGAAAAAAGGAAAAAAAAGAAAAATATTTGAGTTGACGAATATGTCAGCTAGATAAGAGGAATCCTTCATATATATATGTAAAATTGTCATGAGGTACACTTTATATATCTTACAATTTTATTTGTCAATTATAATCCAATAAAGCTGAAAAAAAGAAAATATACAAAATTAAATTTTTTATTAAAAGTGACTCCTTAACAGAGAATCATTTAATGAAGATACTCAAACTATTTTTTTTTTTTGCAGGGTCTTCTACTGCCTTGCTCTGATATATGCCCAGCACACAGGACAGACCAGTGACTGGCACCTCGGGGTACCCAATGTTTGTCAAATGAATAAAAGAATTACGGATACTCAGACTATTAAATAGATATGTATCACATAAAAAAGAAGGTAACACATGTACCATTAGTCATTATAAAATGATTAATCCTGCATACACATTTGATAAACTTAGGTCAAAGCATTTTGAAATTAAAGATCTCATAATGGCTTTTTTTCTGTGTTAGTAAGTCTTTATAACTGGGAATAGGTAAAAATGCTAAAAAGCCTTCATAATTGCAGGTAAAGTAACCTAGGACTAATCCTACACAGCCCATTTACTTTTATCTAAATCCTTGTCCTATTTTTAAATTAATAGTGCAAATATCCAAGGCCATGGAATAGGTATTCACATAAAAATAACTGAACCAGGGTTTCAAAAATAGAAAAGCACAATTATATATGTTATCAAACATTTACTTTGCCAATGTTTTTAAAACATATTCCAATGTGTGTTTCTGCATTATGTCTCACTAGAAGTGGTACAAATAGTAAGACTAGGGGACGTTTACCAGTTTAGGAAACCCCCTTTCTAGTCACTTAGCAGTTACTACTGGTCCCAACTATGCTTTTCTCAAGATCTATGTGGATATCAACAACACATCCATGGGGGCTGCAACAAGAGCGGTGTTTCTGAAGGCTTGGTAGAGAGACATTGTGAATGTCATGGTGGGAAGAGAACTGGAACTCTGGGCTCGAGACCTGGCCTCTCAGCGTGTGACTTGGGCACGTCCCCTACTCTTCTCAGTGGTAGTTTATTCACCTGTCAGATGAAGGCTATGCCAGTGGCCACTTTCATCTCACGAGTTTTTTGTGACCGTCAAATTAGATAGAAAAGGTCAAAGTGATCCCAAATGCAAAACTGCTACACAAGTGAAAATCACCAGAGGATGCATTGCACTAATTGTGCAGTAAACAGGTATTAATGCTGTAAAGTGTTCATTGTTTCTGTGGTTACCAGTAGACCACAGATACACTCAAATTGGGATCCATCACAATGTGAGGATGCCCCAAGCTTCCCCCAACAAGACACACAGGCCTTAGCTGACAAAACCAGACTTTGTCAGAATTCTGTGCTCATTGGAGATATGCCACTGTCTGATTATTTGGAAGTTTATATACTAAGATAATAACTTAAATCAAAACAAAAACATGGAGTGGTTTACACTTCAAAAAGGAAAAATTTTTAACTTTAGGAATAAAAAATAATTTTAAAAGGGAGGAATTTTCAAGTATTCACGTAACAGTATGGAATGGGTTTGCTGAAAGAGAAAACAAACACTTTTTTTTTTTTTTTTACATCTTCTTAGACAAAGCACACTGAAAATTTCTGAAAGCATGACAACTTTGAGAAGATAATGCGGGCTTGGTTCAAGCAACAGCAGTGAGAGGAAACTTGTGTTTTATCAGTGCTATCACTTTGAAACTCTTCTGCCTCCTTTATCGAATTCAGAGACTGGAATAAAATCTTGGGGAAGGGTGTGAGACTCCCAACAAAGATGATATTGTGTTAAGAGGAAAGTGACACTAAAGTGAGAGAAAGGAGTGGTCACCAAATCCAAGATCACACACCATCCAGTGCTGTCATTTAGAATCTATTACACTATTCAGGAATTCGGGAAAAGCCAAGATGGCTTTCCATATGTTAATAAGCTTCTATTAAGTTGTAAAAATATATTTGCATTAAATCTACTTGACCCTCATTTTGACTACTTTTATTTTAATCATAATTCCAAACTTCTTCCCATCACAAGAGACGTAGCCTCTGTCACAACGCAGTTAAAGTTGATTGTGTTTTCTGATCTTGTAAAAATTAGCTTTTTAATTAATGTGTTAATATCATTGATAATTGTAAATTAACAAATGTAATTGTTCTGAATGGGAAAAATACATAGCCTTGATTTGGTCAAATGGCTCTGGATAGCCAGGGTTTAATCTCTTCCTTAACTGGGCAGACAGTTAAGAGACAGGTTATATTCTTGACTAGAGAATCATCAATAGGTTTTGTTCAAGACCTGACATGAGGTATGTGTGTTAAAGGCCATTCAAAAATAGCAAGATATTGGGGTGTATGCATCTTTTCGAATTATGGTTTTCCCCGAATATATGCCCAGGAGCGGGATGCATGCACCCCAATGTGCATTGCAGCACTATTTAGAATAGCCAAGACATGGAAGCAACCTAAATGTCCAACAACAGAGGAATGGATAAAGAAGATGTGGTATATTTATGTAATGGAATAGTACTCAGCCATAAAAAAGAATGATAATGTCATCTGTAGCAACATGGATGGGCCTAGAGATTATCATAGCAAGTAAGCCAGACAAATGCAAATATGATATCACTTATATGTGGAATCTAAAAAAAAATGATACAAATGAACTTATATACAAAACAGAAATAAACCCACAGACATAAAAAACAAGCCTGTGGTTACCAAAGAGGAAGAGGGTTGGGAGGGATAAATTAGTACCTTGAGATTAACATATAAACACTGCTATACATAAAAGAGATAACCAACAAGGACCTACTATATAGCACAGAGAACTATACTCAATATTCTGTAATAGCCTATAAGGGAAAAGAATCTGAAAAAGAATAGATATATATGTATGTATAACTGAATCACTTTGCTGTACACCTGAAACTAACAGAAAATTGCAAATCAACTATATTTCAATTAAAAAAATAAATTAAATTAAATAGCAAGGTAAAGTAAAACTTCTCATTAGTACCATAACATGCTTTCTCTACACACTAAGCCATCCCAGAGTTTTGCAGTATAATCTCTACTACCACAGGGAAATAAAAGTTAATTTATCTAAATCAAAGTATATTTGAGCAAAATAGCCCAAAATGTGCTTTGAAACTTTTGGATTATTTACTATAGGTGAAATTAGACAAGGATGGCAAGATGGCAAAGATCATAGATGGTTTAAAGGAAATGGCATCAAAATCTAGGAGGTGGAGCTGGAAATCACTAAACATAACGACTTGCTCATTGGTTATCACACTGTCAATTTTGTTCTAGTTTATTAGAGCCAAAAATTTTTATGTTAAGACTGACCCTTAATTTGCAATGTAATACTCCAGGTACCTAAGACGCTCCAATAGCAGGAACTGCAGAAGCAGCATCTTTCTGAATTGCTGTGGCATTTAAAAAAGCCAAAAAACTAATACTTGCTGTGAAGCAAAGAAAGAGAGAAAACAACAGTTAAAACAAAAACAAACAAAAAGAAAGAAGGTAAGAAAATGAAGCATGAAATTGTGTCTGGATCCAATCAATACCTCCCAAAATATCAGAATATAGTAACTTTTCCCTGAAAGGCTTAAATATTTGGGGGACTTTTGAAAATAGAATAATTTCGGTGTAAGCATATTAGATTATTTTAGAGGTACCAAAGAGTCCTTGTTTTTTTCCAAAAAATCACATATGCATTTTTAAATTATTAGATTTTCTGTTATCCTCTGAAGTACGGGAATAAATTTTCTCTAACAAAGTTCATTAGTAAAAAATCTGCAAAGTTAATGTTACTTGGCCACGGGCTCCCATTAAGAAATTAGAAAAAAAAAAGAAATTAGAGAATTTGCATGTAAAAGAAATTCTCTTAGTCACTCTGGACAACTTCCAGTAATATGGTACCAGCTCCCTGGGTGACCAGGCCTGTGGAGTCAGCTAGGAAGGTACTCCTCCACGAGATCTCATATTAGGAGATACTAGAAGTCTGCCCTGTTTTTCCTCATTGCTAGAGGTTTTTCATTGGCTAAGGGTTGAGACATGTAAATTCCAGCTGTGACATCACTTGACCTCGGTCTGAAAATGACCTAATCTCCATTCTTCACATTA